GGTGCGTTCGAAAAGTAAGGTGACTTTTGCAATTGGGCGGGTACGCAAATCTTCATATCTTAATTTTTTTTGTTATGTTGGTACACATGTTCTTAACATATGTTCAAAGTTTCAGCTAGTTTGCAGGTGATTCTATTTCGAACAAGAAAAATGCTTATAAGTGGTGTAAGCTGTTCCAAGATAGCCGATGACGAACCTCGCTCTGGACGCTCCAGCACGTCAATAACTGATGAAGGCGTTGAAGAAGTGAAACAAATGGTGTTGAAAAATCGTCGGATTACTATTAGAGACGTGGTTGAAGACGTCGGCATCTCTATTGACTCGTGCCATGCAATTTTTTCCGAAGTTTTGGGCATGAAACGTGGAGCAGCAAAATGTATTTCTTAATTTTGCACAAAAGGACCGTCGAAGAAGTATCGCTTATATGCTGTATCGCTTATAACTGGTGACGAATAGTGGGTTTTGACGTCGAAACCAAAGCACAGTCGTCCCAATGGAAGAACCGAAAAAAGCATGTCAAGTTCAATCAAATGTCAGGGTTTTGCTTACTGTTTTCTGCGATTATCGTGGCGTAGTACATCAACAGTTATTACCAAAAGGTCGCACGGTCAATAAAGATTATTACCTTGAAGTTATGCGCCGTTTGCGACAAGCAATACACCAGCACCAGCCGCGATGTTCACCCTGCGACTTTTTCCTGTTCACAAAACTCAAGAAACCCATGAAGGAGGTTTGGAACGAGTGAAGAGATAAAGAAAAAATCGCTAGAAGAACTCAAGGTTATACCAGAAACTGTTTACGAGAAGTGCTTCGAGGATTGAAAAAATCGTTGGCACAAGTGTATTATATCTGGCTGGGATTAATTTGAAGGGGACAACATTAATTTTGATGAATAAATAACTACTTTTTGATAAAACTTAAAAGTCACCTTACTTTTTGAACACACCTAGTATGTTCCATATTGGATTCATAGAATGAACTCTAATCTTAGTCTCATGTTAACAAATGTGTTTCGCCCATCGTATCCAACAAATAAAATTCCATATCGTACAGATGTGCACACATACTATGAACTATGAACTTATAATATTAATTTTTTGTTAAACAATATTCCGCACAATTTAAAAACATTATCAGTAGGCGCATTTAAATATAAACAGTTCTTTTTAAGTTAATGTTATATGATTCTTCAAATTAAAACATGCTCTTGGAGATACACAACATGTTTTTTTTAGGGGTAGGTCGGTTGCTACCAATCTCTCACTATATGTCCAGGATGTTTCTGAGGCGTTAGATAATAGGGTGCAGATAGATGCCGTGTACACCGACTTCTCAAAAGCTTTTGATAAGGTTCACCACCCAACAATGTTGATCAAATTAAAAAATTTCGGTGTACACGGTTGTCTTTATAAAATTCTTCAATCCTACATCAGTCCTCGGACTGTTTGTAGAATTGAATTCTGCAAAATCCCAAACGACCCGCATCACATCTGGAATTCCTCAAGGGTCCCATTTGGGACCATTGTTATTTTCACTGTTTATCACAGATGGCAGTAAATGTTTTCTCTTTGCTAAATCAGCATCATACGCAGATGATCAGAAATCATACGCGCCCGTGAAAAGCCTTAACGACTGTCATAAGTTTCAAGAAGATCTTGATCGTTTTTATGAATACTGTATAAAAAATCGTCTATTTTTAAATATTGATAAATGTTACTGTCTTAAGTTCAGCAGGCGGATAAATGATATAAACTTTGACTACACATTCAATGGTGTAAAAATAAAAAAAGTAGAGCAGATTAGGGATCTTGGAATAACTATAGATGTAAAATTAAGTTTTGATATCCACATTGAGAATATAGTAAAAAAAGCTTATAAAAATTTAGGTTTTATATTAAGAGTTAGCAAGGAATTTCAGGATCACAAATCGCTTATTATTCTATACAATTCCTACGTTCGATCTCACCTTGACTATGGCGGTGTGATATGGAGTCCTCAGTATCATAAATATATAGACAGAATCGAGAGAATACAAAAAAAGTTTGTTTTCCATTTAAATTTTAGATTTAACCGTAACTTACTAACTCATTCGTATGAAGCTAGTCTTAATTTCTACCATATACTGAAGTTATCTGTTAGAAGAATTATCTCCAGTGCTATATTTTTGCATAATATTATTAATAGTAGGATTAACTGTCCTTTACTATTGGAAAAACTCTCCTTCAATGCCAGAGTCGTTATAACAAGAACTCCTTCATTGTTTTACGTGCCTAGATTTAATACAAACTTAGGTAACAATTCCCCAATATCTCTTTTACATAGACATTACAATAATTATTTTTCGCACATTGACATCTTTGCGTTATCACTTAATTCGTTTCGAAATCAAGCAATTAGGGGTTTTCTATAAATTTATTTTAATTTTTGATTTGTTGTCCTTATTTTTTCACATTTGTTTTTTGTAATTCACGCACTTAATATACAGTGTTAGTTTTGGTTTAGTTTGGTAAGTTTGATTGTTATTATTTTTTTTTATTTTTTTTTATCTTCTGCTTATCGTAGATATAGGTAGGTACTTGCTTATAAGTTTTACTTTGTTAATTAAATAATGGTATAATTGTTAGTGTGTCCTTGTAAATTGTGAAGTTAGTTCTTCATGTTAGGGCACCTTTGTAATAAATAAATAAATAAATAAATGAGTGACCTTTTTGTTTTTATATATATGGACATCGTACGAGCGACTCCTTTTTTGTCTTTTTTCCTTCCTTTTCGTATAATGTGCCTTTTGTACAGGATTGAGAACGTTAGTGTAATTAGCATGGTCAACATTAATAGATATTATGTGCTTACTTTGAGGCTTGAACTAGAATCTTTGATTTGAATATCGGCCTCCCTTTTGCTTGCAAAATTGGTTATTGATTTATTATATATATTTTGCATCTGCTTGTTATTTTATTAAAATATTTACAGTACGTATGTCACGAGAATATTGTCAGCAGAAAAATTAAAAGTCAGTTCAAATGCGGTCAGGTGTTGGGTTTATTAATATTACCAATTTAAACGAGCATTGTCTTGGCAAAATTAAGGACTAATGGAAAAAATTTCAAGCTAGTAGCTGTCTATGCACCTGAAGAGGGTGAGATGACCGAATGGAAAATCAAATGAAACGTTTTTGCATTGTAAAAATGCTATAACGGCGAATTTTAAACCACCCCACTTAGTCTTTTTTAATCGTTATCGCTTTTTTAATACAAAAAATGATCTGAAATCTATCAAACATTTTTCTAGAAAAAACTAAGTAATAAACAAAATACCAATGTTTTGTTATCCTGCCGCGTTTGGAAAAAATATATAAAAATGAAATTTGTTGGTTCTGTTAATTACACAACCTTAAGGGTTTTTTTTCCATTTTTCCATTATTTTAGTGTCTGTTTAAAAAATCTGCCACAGAATAAAAGCGGTGCCAACTTTTTGCTTGTTTGCGTACTAGGCGCTTCCTTGTAATTTCTCTATTCATCGACAATATGCTATTCATCTACTTGTTATTTTATTAAAATGCTTATAGCAGGTATGTCACGACAATATTGGCAGTAGAAATTTCTTGGCAAATATTAATGGAGGAAATTTCATACAAGTAGTTGACATGCTGTAATAGCGAATTTTATTTTAATATAAAAAATTATCTCAATTCTATAAAGGATTTTTCTAAAAATAACGAAATAATAGGGAAAATACCAATAAAAGCAAAAATACATTATATTTGATTCTTACTTTGTTATTTGCAAGATTTAGAAAAAAATATATGGAAATAAGATTTTATTTAGAAAGGCTGTGTTAATTGCCAAAACTTAAGGTTTTTGTTTTTAATTTTTCCCTTATTTTTATATCTGTGCGTTTCTGGAATAATGTTAAGTTAAGTTAATAAAATTGAAATACGAGTATAAAAATCTGATACAGAAATTTTATTAATTAAAAGCTACATCCAATAAAAAAATTGCATGGTTGGTTACTGGACGATTTCCTCTAATTTTTTGTTCAAAAACAATTTAGATATGCTTTTCCCGTTTGGTTTTTTATTAAAATACTTGTAACACGCATGTCACTACAGTATTGCCGGTAGAAAAAATAGAATTCGTTTAGAGATTATCAGCGGACCACATTGCTTCTATTTTTGTTCAGTAACATGTTGGAATGCTTCATCTATCAACCCACGCAGACATTCTGTTTTGAAATTGGAGTTGTTTATTGCCACATATCGCTTTACTTGATTCCATCTCGATGGGGTTAAGCTCACAGTGGTACGGGGTAAACATAAAAAATCTACTTAATTAAAAAATCTCACAAGTTTAGGTTCCTTTTAGAAAAAGAGAATTTAGATTTTTAAGTGGTGTCAGATGTGGGGTTCTTGTAATAATTAAATAATTTAGAAAATAGAAATATTTACCTTACATTATAACCTTTTTTGCTTGTAGACACTATATTTTTATGTATGGTTGCAAAAGAAACCACTGGAAGTTAATTTGATAGCAACTATTTGGAAGCTGTGGTGTCAGGTGTGGGGTACCTCTACCACGTCAAATTTTATGCAAATGTTTATGGAAAAAATACATGCTTTCGAGCGGATAAAAGTAGGAAAAATATTTCCTCGTGTATTTCATTAAGACTGCTATATAATTACATAAGACTTTAACTCGACGCGTAATATTATCGTTTAAACGGTAAAATTTGCGTTGTAGATTTGATCTTCGCCCCCCCGGCGCCATCGAAAAAAAAAGCGTTAATTTGATTTAAACGGTGATGCGATGACATTGTTCGTTTCCACTGTCTTGACGTGGGGGAGGAGGGTGTTTAGAATTATTCAATTTTTCGTGAATGAAACGTGAAAAAGGAAATCGTTTTGCCTTTAAACCCACGCGATTTATTGAAAAAATTGATTTATGTCAATTGTATTAGATGAATAATCGAATTATCTTTTTATCAATTTTTTCCGTTTTTTCCAGACATTTCGACATGGCTTTCCTTACCAACCAACGTCGATGGCCTACGATCCGGTACAGAGACTTCTCGCTATCGGCTCAAAATGCGGATCGCTCAGGATGTATCCTTTTCACTCAGGATAATTTTGTATTATATAACACAGGTGGGATGGTAAATATAATGCCCTCTATTTATGAAAAATGTGAGAAACCAACCGTAACAATTAAGTTTCACAATTTAAAAAATGCCGATTGAGAAATCCTTAAAGACTTTTTGAAATTGACTCCTTTTGAAAATATCATTTACATGAACTCGGTACCTGATAAAGCCATGGTACTACACAATTTTCTATTTAATCTTTTTGACACCCTTGCGTCCATTGAAGAGGTAAGTTTAAAAACTATTAATCCACCATTGCTAACTCATACAGGGTGAGTCAGCGATTGTTCAAAAATTATGAAAAAAATGATAAAGATTGTTAGAATGCACAATTTCAAATAACTTTGCAGAGTGGCTCCAATGTTGTTTCGAATAAAATTCTTCAATTTTTTTATTAATACGCACCTAGAACGAATCGTGTTTCCAATATTTTATTTTTTCGAAAAAAAAAGATTTCACATTTGATATTAGCGTTACTTGAAGATGACATAAAAGATGCTTGCAACGGAATTCGAATTAGATGCTACAGAGTGTTCAAAAAAAAAATCTCGATCTTCCTAAATGGCACACCGTATATATATATATATATATATATATATATATATATATATATATATATATATATATATATATATATATATATATATATATATATATATATATATATATATATATATATATATATGATGACACTATATTCCGGGATATCATCCGTTCGCTCGTTGAACTCCGACTGGAATCCTGCAAATCTTGCATCCGACTGGAATCCTGCAGACGTTTCGCCACAATCTCACTTGGCATCCCCAATGCTCGCGCTCCGAAAACACTTCGAACACATATATATATATATATATATATATATATATATATATATATATATATATATATATATATATATATATATATATATATATATATATATATATATATATATATATATATATATATATATATATATATATATATTTTTAAACTTAACTTTTCTAATATTTACCTTTCTTTCTGTCTGAGACTATGGCCATAATATTACATGGCCACGACAAATCAACAGGTTTCTGTTAAGATTAAAATATAAACGCAAGACAGTACTTAAGTTCAAATTTTAATATTGGAGAAACTCTCGGGTTTAGGTATGTATTATTTTTAATAAAAAAGTTGAAGAATTTGAAAACGGATTTAAAACTAAATTTAACAAACATCTATTTGTTGCGTTTTTTGAGCCACTCTGAAATAAATTAAAATAATTTTAAATTTTGTATCCTAACCATCTGTGAGAAAATGTAAACAACTTAAGAAGCTTTCTGGAGGCAATTAAATAATTTAAAAATAAGTTTGGTTCCTTACCAGATAATGTCAACATTCCCAACGAAATAATTAAACATTTTTTTAAATGCAAATGAAAATATTTCCGCCGATAAAGAACTTAAAATTTTTTATAAAAAGAATCTTGTTTCCTTTCGCCACCTGCTGCTGAATATCAAGTCTTTAGCTACGGGAGGAGGTGGATTAAACGTAGATATAAATTTTTAGAATCTTCCCTGATTCATGGAAAATTTTTAAAATTTTACCAATTATAAAAAAAAACGGAATTTTTATAAGCTATAATAACTTGAGACCTACAAGAATCCTGGATATTTTATCAAAGGTGAAATTCAAATAAAACAATATTACTGTAGTACTGCTCTTTTGTGTATAACTTATCATATGATTCGTGCGATTGACATGGGATAGAGAAATATTTATGGTTCTTACTGACTTTGGTCGAGCCTTTGATAGAGTAAATCTTCAGCTACTATCAAATTTTCACTATATTGGATTTGGGGATACAGCGGTTGCACTCATGAATAGCTAGCTAGCTAGAAACGGACTGTCGAAATGCAGATATTTGACGTGCTCAAATCTGGGACAACTTATTTTTGTATTTATACTTGTAAGATAATTAATACTATAAATCATTGCTAGATATGCAGACGACACAGAACTGCAGATTTCTTTTAACTCAAAGCTCGAGAGAAATTAAACTAGGATCTCATTAGATTCATTCATTCATTTTCTTCAATTAGTTCATCTAAATCGACTTATTTTGAAAAATCTAATGTAGATAAAGATATAAACATTAAGATTGGGAGTAACGGTATTCCATATACACAATCATGTCGCAATTTGTGTTTATTTTTTGATTCAACTTTAGGTTTAAGACTGGCGATAACAAATGTACTCAATGTCCCTGTGCAGATATGAAAATCTTTTCCCACGAAAACTCAAAAATACTACTACCTGATGCTATCGTGCCCGGATAAGATCCAAGCGTGTTCAAAAATCTTGAGAGAAGATTTATTTACCTTTCCTTTCATTGAAATTTGATATTCCGCCCCTTTCCTCTACTTTAGTATATTCAATTAAATCTGTTGCCGACATTCCGTTCGAACAGGATTGACAACTCAATTTTGAAAACGCAAAAATAAGTTACGATCGATTGAAATAGCGGCGAATGTACGGAAAAGTTTTAATGGAACAAGTTGGTGATTTGTAGTTTTACGATAACCTCGAACACATTTGAATAGGCCGCATTATTATTTCGGCGAAGTTTGACAACTGTAAGACCCCTCCAACTCGGGAATGAATTTTTTTTTCCCGGTTGACCGAATATGTTTGATTTTCTCTACGATAGCTAACGGCATAACTCAATATACAGTGTGGTCGTTTTCATCTTCGATTTATTGTTTTTGACTGGGTGGTCTTAATTGAAGTATAAAACCTATTGGGTTGTTCGGAAAGTCATTTCGTTTTTTTTGGGGAACATGAAAGACAGTTTTCGTATAATGAATAAATATTTTATTAAATTATATATTGGCCATTCTGGTCCAACACCTTTTGCCATCTTTCTGGCAGTAACATAATTCCCCTCTCATAAAAGTTTTGGTCCTTGCTGGCAAAAACTGGTTCAGGTGGTTTTTGACATCTTCATTTGAGGTAAAGGTTTTGCCGTCCAAAAAATTTTTCAGGGACCGGAACAAATAGTAGTCGGAAGGCGCCAGATCTGGAGAATATGGTGGATGTTGCAGTACGTCCCATTCAAGCTGTAAAAGTTTTTGGCGAGTGACCAAACTTGTGTGAGGTCTCGCATTATCCTGGTGGAACACTAAACCCTTCCTGTTGATTAATTCGGGCCTCTTCTCTTTAAGTGTTTGTCCAGTTGATGACAATAGACTTCTGAATTAATCGTTGTCTTTCTGGCAGTAACATAATTCCCCTCTCATAAAAGTTTTGGTCCTTGCTGGCAAAAAACTGGTTCAGGTGGTTTTTGACATCTTCATTTGAGGTAAAGGTTTTGCCGTCCAAAAAATTTTGCAGGGACCGGAACAAATAGTAGTCGGAAGGCGCCAGATCTGGAGAATATGGTGGATGTTGCAGTACGTCCCATTCAAGCTGTAAAAGTTTTTGGCGAGTGACCAAACTTGTGTGAGGTCTCGCATTATCCTGGTGGAACACTACACCCTTCCTGTTGATTAATTCGGGCCTCTTCTCTTTAAGTGAATCATTCAATTTGTCCAGTTGATGACAATAGACTTCTGAATTAATCGTTGTATTGTCCGGCAAAAGCTCAAAAAAAACGATTCCTTTGACATTCCACCAAACGGAGAGCATCACCTTTTTTTGGTGAATGTTGGCTTTTGACACGCTTTGAGCCGGTTCATCTTTTCTGCTCCATGACCTCTTGCGTTTAACATTGTTGTATACAACCCATTTTTCGTCCCCAGTAATAATCCGCTTCAAAAATGGATCATTTTCTTGACGTTTGAGGAGCGAATCACACACGTCAACGCGACGACACAAATTTCGCTCCGTACGGACATGGGGCACCCACACATCGAGCTTCGAGGTTAAGCCCATGCCTTTCAAATGGCCATAAACAGTCGAATTCGACAAATTTAATCTCTCACCGATCTCTCGTGTGGTTATTCGCCGATTTGCATCAACTAATGCCTTTATCGCATCTTTGTCAGCTTCGACCGGCCTTCCAGACCGTGGTGCATCTTCGACATCAAAATTTCCGGATCGAAATTTTGCAAACCAGTTCTGGCACTGGCGTACTGTTAACACGCCTTCTCCATACACATCCGTCAATTTTTTTCTCGCTTGGACAGCATTTTTACCTTTTCTGAAGTAAAAAAGTAAAATATGACGAAAATGCTGCTTATTGCTCTCCATATTTAAAAGAGCACCAACCAAAAACTACTGCGTAGAATTAATAGAACTTTTTCACACACAAGCCTTGCAATATCAGCTCTCAAGACATATAATGGTTATGCGGCTTAAGTGTGAAGTTGGTTTCGAAAAAACGTAATTAAGTCCTATGACGGGAAAAAACGAAATGACTTTCCGAACAACCTTATATCTTTCATTACATACGATCTAGCGTGCGGGATGCGTCATTTTACCACGTCAGTTTCATTTCCCACGGATCCGAGCCACTTCGGACATTTCCGGGATTTTACCGCACGGGGGAAGCAATCGGATGTTTTCGGAGATATTTCCCACCCCTTAAATTTTGACGTTTGTCAATTCTGGCGCTCATATTCGTGTTATTTTGCGCAAATGTACCCAAAAACTAACGGTCGTAGAAATGGCGGAAAAAAAAATTAAACAATTACGGAGGTTTCAGGAATATTAATTTTCGCTTATCTATTGTTTGGAGTGGTGAAGCGAGAATTTTTAAAGGATCCGATTCTTATCACTGGAGCACAGAAAATCCTCTTGCTATAGTGTATCAAAATGGGCAAGGTCGTTTTGTATTCGATGTAGGCCTTATGGTTATATAAATATTTTGCGAAAATGTGTTGGTCCATTTTTAGAGGACTTGTCATAATTCTTGGTAGGAGTATTTATTATCAGTGAGACTGTTGCTCCGCTCGCAACGCACGGTTTGTAAGTGACCTTTTAAATGAATAGTTTGAACAA